CTATGCATTCCACTGACCTTGTTGAATAATGCTTTTTCGTCGTCACCACCCATACCAGCCATTACACGCGATGAATTCAACATCGACTCCAGATTAGCAATCGCTTTTGGGAGAGTCTGAGAAAAAACTTATGTTTTTATTCTAATATTTATTATGGCACTGGGCGGACTGAACGGGCAAAGCCAAGCAGAGCATCGAAATGAGCTGAAATCTACATCACTAGATTCCAGGTTCAACCAAGCAAAAGTGGTTTCCTCCACACGTTTGAAACAACACGCCCTCTTCTTGATACGATACAGAGAAGGCTTCGCGCTGAGGGAGAACTGTGAGTCTCCGCCCACTCGCATATCGCGGAAGAAGTTGCAGAGATCAAAAGATTTTAGCGACAGCGCAAATATACTTTTCGCTTCAGGACAAAGAAAGTAGATATCACTATATAGCCAGGCAGCTGGCAAAACTCACGTTTCCTTCATCAATCCTCCTCTTTATTGGTCGTACCATTGACACCAGCAGGGCATGATTCCGGGTGAAATTGGCAGTATCCGTGTCTGGTGTCACATCGTCTTCCAACCATGTTCGTATACGTTTCGACTGTAACAATATTACTGAATCAAGTAAAAAAAATGTTGCCAAGTAAAACTGCAAAAATATATCAATCACATATTGGTTTGCTTTGTAACACATCCGGTTGCACTTATGATGAAAAATTAGAGGCTTAGCTAGTTCTGACAATGACAAACTGCTGTTTTAATGCTGCTGTACCGCTTCTAATAAAAATGGGTTATGGGCAACCCAGAATTCTGCATCCCTGATGACAGTACCGTTACGCCACCAGGGGCCGCTTTACTCTCGGGCTGAATCGCCTTTTGTACATGGAAAACCTCACGCTTGACGATCACCCTGGTATCAGTTAGCGGCATATCCCGTTAATACATTGTAGAGAGGCATATTTCTGTTGCTGGACAGTAAGGGGCCATATTCTGGCTGAACGCAGAAACCGCCATTTCTTGCCTATGTAGATTTTCTCACGCCCTGCTCAAAAGAAAGGCGTTATGGCCTATGTACAAAGTATATAGGTCACGACGATAGCGACTGCCGGATAAGGAAGGTGGAGGTTCGAAGTCGCGCCTAAAGGAAAAGACTCTGCCCATAGCCCACAATTCTTCAGGAGTATCAAGTTCATCATTCCTAATATCAATAGAGAATGTGCTTCATTATGAAGGTCTAAAGAGTTGAGAGAAACGTTTAGGACATACCTCTTCCAGCAGCTTGCTCCTTTCTTCCTCCGTTGAATGTTTAACGTAATCCGCCTCTTCCACTAGTTGGCTCACTTCGAAAGCATAAGCCTCCAGTTCATTCTCTGCTGCTGCACGGTCACGAGCATGACGCTCACGTTTCTCGAACTCTTCCAGGCTAGAAACAAATACATTGAACCAAATCAGAGTAAGTTTGAGATGAGAAAAGGAGAATATTCATTCCTTACAAGCGAAACAAGTCCAAGGAAGAAAACTCAATAATTACATAACATAGTGTCTACTAGCTAGTCCTACGATTTCTTGTCAAGGAGGAAAGGATAAAGTCTTCCCGGTCGATCAGCCCTTCTCTGGGATGCGACACGCATTCTACTCCTACTTGGAATTGTGGTGGATTATTGAATGCTATGTGGTCTGCACAACTTGCAGGGGGCATCCGAAGTACGGGTCAGTGTTTTATTCACGCAAAAAATCTGGTACTAACTCACGGGGGTAGAAGGGATAGATGATTGGATGGCCTGAGCGGGAGTCGATCTGTGACTCAACCCCCAAAACGGAGGCGCTGTAAGCGTGCCACTTGCCGCTACACCACCTCCGCCTCGCAAATTTCCGCATATTAGTTGACTGACGGCTTACTGTACACAGAAAAAATACTCACAGCTTCTTAGCACTTGCAACGTCATCCTTGCTCATCATATGCGCCGTCGTATATTTCTCCATAGTTTTCAATGCAACTCGCACAACTTGTGGGACTTTCTTCTTCTCCTCTGCAGCTGCATCAGCCGTGGCATTCTTCTGAAGAGAAAAAAAAACTTCATTCTTCCAGCACGTGTTTCACATTTATCTGATATGCCCCAAACGGGAAGGTTTTCTCAGCCCAAAATGACAGAGAAGTTTCCAAGATGGACAGAACTTGGCGCTAACAATCTTAGAGGGAGCATTCAGAATGCACCTTGGGCAATACTAAAGTTACCGTGACGGAAAGAATTCTATCTAAGGAGGAAGGAACTATGGGGAGGGCGAACCGATTTCAAGTACAAGTATTTTCAAGTACAGTAATTCTATTCGGCGAAAGTCAATCCTAGCTTTGCACGAGGAGTCCTTTAGATGCCCCTCCGAAGTCACTGGTACCCCAAGAATTAAACGAAACCACTGTAAGACCAGTATTTCATTAATCAAATCAAGATGATGTCATGACCACACTTTCCAAAAACCGTCTGAAACCGCGGTATGAGCGGAGCTAGCGAACGACATCATTCATGCATCCTTCCTTTTCCTGCTGCCTCAAAGGCAGTGTTCACGATTTCTCGAGGCGCGCGGTTGTTGCCAGCGTCATCGGTAAAAGGGTCACGAGAGGGCGTTTGACCACACCCCGTTTAGCCCTTACATCAACGACGTTGGAAACAACCGCTGGCCCCAGCCATTAAGCCCACTGCCTTCATTGGCAGACAGAGAAGCGCTCCAATCACGCTTCTCTGACTTCGCCCACCCAGCAGCGCCCGAAGAAGCCTTTAAGGCAAATCTCAGCAATTATTAGTTGTGAGTATTGCTCCCGCCGTGACTGACTGGCAAACACTCTAAGCCCCAGACCATTGAAGAGATCTCACCTTCTCCGATTCCGCTGCTGCATCCGCCTTAGCTTTCTCATCAGTTTCAGTCTTATTCTCTGCGCTATCTGCTGATTCGTCGGTCTTTTTCTCCTCGGTCTGCTCTTCTTTACCATCCTTGCTCTGCTCCTTGCCCTCTTTGCTTTGCTCTTCTGTCTCTTTCTTTTCGGTCTCTTCCACCGGCTTCTCTTCTGCTGCTGGCGGTTTCTCCACAGTCTCTTCAGGTTTCTCTTCAGGTGTCGTGCTCTCTACACCTTCATCGTCCTTTTTGTCTTCAGCCTCCGTTGGTTCACCTTCCTCGGGTTTCTTACGAGAAGAACCCAGTGATCGTGTTCGTGATAGCTGAAGAGAAACCTGAAGAGACTGTGGAGAAACCGCCAACAGCAGAAGAGAAGCCGGTGGAAGAG